CATTCAAAAGTGAGTATTCCAACTTTTCATCACCTACTTCAAAAGTGATCTTACCTTTCTTCATGTCTATGATTGCACCTGCAGTAGCTAGGAAAGGTCTACTAAGTATGATCGGAATATTCACATCTTTTTCCATCTCCATCACAACAAAATCACATGGAATGAAAAATTTACCTACTCTGAGGGGTACATCCTCAAGTACACCCAAAGGAAACTTCACTGACCTGTCTGCAAGTTGTAGAGATATTCGTGTAGGTTTAAGCTCACCCATCTGCAGCTTCTTGCATATAGAAAGTGGCATGAGGCTCACACTTGCACCTAGATCACATAGTGCCCTGTTGATCTCAATATCTCCAAGCTTCACTAGAATTGAATAGCTACCTGGATCTCCTAATTTCTTAGGGAGAGTGTTCTGCAAAATAGCACTGCACTCTGCATTCAAAGCAACTGTAGTATTCTCTTCTAATTTCCTCTTGTTAGATAGCATATCTTTTAAAAATTTTGCATAAGAAGGCATCTCAGATATGGCATCTAGGAATGGAATATTAATATGAAGCTTTTTAAGAATATCGAGGAACTTACTGAACTTTTTCTCAAGTTTAGCTTGTGCTAACCTTTGAGGAAAAGGAATCTTGGGCACATATGGAGCAAGTGGCTTTGGTGGTGGTTCCTTTGATGCCTCCTCAACCCTATCATCTTCTACTTCCTTCTCACTTGCCTCTGCTTCTTCATTGACCTCCCTTGATGGCTCCATGGTAGGAGGATCGTCGAACTGCCTTCCACTCCTCAGGGCTACAAAATTCATTTGGGCTCTTTGAGGTTGTTCTGTCTGGCCCGGGAAGGTTCCTGGAGTCTTTAGAGCTTAGTTAAATTGGTTGGTCAATTGGCTTATCTGATTCTCCATAAGTTTACTCTGGGCCTGCAACTATTGGATAGAGCTATTTTGATGTTGGATGGCACTGTTTTTTGCGGTTATGAAGCTCTCTAAGGTCACCTCTAGGCTTGATTTCTGAGGTTGTGGTTGCATAGGTTGTTGGGCATTGGGTGGTTTCTGTTGGAAGCCTGGTGGTGGTTGGTTGTAGGTATTGGGTTGAGGTGGTGGTGGAGGGTTTTGTTGTGCTTGGGAATTTTTGTACGAGAAGTTAGGATGGTGTTTCCATCCTTCATTGTAGGTGTTGGAATAAGGGTCATAAGGTCTCTTTGGGTTAGAGGAGTAGAAAGCATTGGCTTGCTCGATTGACATCTCTTCCGTATTTTGCGAAATCTGTGGGCAATCTGGAGCAACATGACCCTGCACATTACATAACTAACACAACTCCTGTGGGGTGTTAGAAGTTCCTGCTTGGAACTTATCAAACCTGCTTGTTAGTGCCTGCACAGAACTAGTTAGCATAGTTAAAGCATCAACATCAAGTTTACCTCCCTTTTTCACAGTGTTTCGGCCTCCAGGATGATAGTTATCATTGGCCGCCATCTTCTCTATGAGCTCCCTAGCTTCAGTGGGGTTCTTTGTCAAGAGAGAACCTCCTGACGCGGCATCTATGTAAATATGGAACTCATGAGTCATGCCATTGTAAAAGGTCTGCATCAAAATCCAATCTGGATTGCCATGGTGAGGGCATTGTCTCTGCAATCTTTTAAATCTCCTCCAAGCCTCATAGAGAGACTCATCATCCGACTGCTTAAAAGTTTGTAGCTCATTCCTCAATCTTACAGTCTTCTCATTCCCTAAGAACTTCACTAGGAAGGCCTTCACTAACTTGTCCCATGTATCGAACGAGCCAGTGCCTTCATCTCTTAACCACTCCTTTGCCCTGTCTCGAAGTAAGAAAGGGAAAAAGCGTAGTCTGATTGCATCATCTGTAACACCATTCAACTTCATAGTGTCACATTTCTCCAAAAAGCTATATATATGACTTACGGGGCAATCATGTGGTAGCCCTGCGAATGAATCATTGGAGATGAACTGTATGAACTGTGGCTTGAGCTCGAAGTGCTGAGCCGTAACTAGTGGTCTTATGATGCTTGAAAGGACTCCGGTAGTCGTATCAGGAATACCGTACGCCAAGAGGGATTTCGTTGGTTGGTCTACCATGTTTCTCCTACGTCTGTTCCTTGTTCTCCTTCTTCTTATAGTTGCCTCAATCTCATAATCAAATGGTTCAAGATCTTCTGAACCTGAGCTACGTGTGGGCATGCACAAGAAAAACTAGAGAAAGGTATCAAAAACACAAGGGAAAATAGCCGAAGCAACGAAATAAGCCTAGCAAAAATGAATCACAAATAATCAAATGAAACTGTTAGTCCCCGGCAACGGCGCCAAAATTTGGTAGGCGTGTCGCGTACGTATAAAAAATAACCTAACAGACCAATTCTAATGTAGACTGGCAAGTAAGGGTCGGATCCCAAGAGACTAAGGTTCAAAAATAATTAAATAGACTCGAATTTCTACTAAGCAAAAATCAATTATAATCAATTATCTACGGAACTAAGTATGAGAAGAATTCGAAAATAAACTAAATAAGATGATTAAATCAAGTACTAAAAACCTCCAAGATCTAGTTTCACCTCAATTATTATCGATGCAATTGTAATTCTACCCTTAACATACGATTTCAATCGAACGGGGAAAAGTAAACCCTAATAAATACCAAGGATCTCTCTCGAGTATCAATGGCTTCCCTAACATACAATCAATCCTATTCTCATGGTATCATGAATATTAGAGACATTAAACACATTACTCTCACTTCCCAATAATCAAACCCAACTACTCTCGTGTTGAGAATCAAACCCTAAATTGATTTACTCAAATCCGTTTATACCCAACTCTCGCTGTGATAAAAACAATGGAATAATCGCAATACTATAGTTACGTCTAACCTAGCATTGGCATAATCACAATCAATTTAGCAATTCAATTGTTAAAGTTATTAAAGAATTTAAAGATTTAATTCATGCATCAATAATAATAGGGCTACACTAGACATTGAATTAAAGAATCTACTCACACATGATTAAAGAAACAAAAACAATAATAAATAATGAAAACATAATTAAATAACAAAGGATGAAAAATAAATACCAAATCTTGAATAAAATTGAAAGTAGAAAGCTTGAATCTTGAATCTTGAATTACAAAAACTTAGAAAAATAATGGAGAACTAGTTCTTAATAATAGGAATTGAAAAATAATAAAACTTAATGCATCCCCCAAAAAAACAAGGCTAAAAAGTATTTATATAAGCCTAAAAAGATAAGAAAATCGGCCAATCCTTGGCGCACAAGAATCCCAGGAGGCACGAACGTGCCTCTCCATAGTCACGGACGTGCCTCTATGGCAGAAACTTTGGATTAATTCTTTCGCGATGAGGCACAGACGTGCTTCAATGGGGCACGGACGTGCCTCCTCTGCTACGCGTATCACTCATCATAAATCAGTCATAACTTCATATCCAGAGCTCCGTTTGAGGCGTCTAATATATCGTTGGAAAGGTCTTCAAGTCTACTTTCCAATGCAATTTGAATCACTCCATTATCATTTGTATATCAAAATTTATGAGCATAATAGTGAACAGGTGTCATATTTGTCAAGTATTTCATCAACGTTTTGCTTCATTTTCACTCAATTAGCTCCGTTAATCCTGAAATACATCAAAAACAACAAAACTACCCATAAAACCATTGGATTATCAAAACTAAACCAAAATACGCCAAAACGGACTCAAATACTTAACTAAACTAACAAAACTAACTAAAAATAAGCCAAATAACATACACAAAACACGACATATCATTTACAACCCGTAACCTAATATGTTTATGATCTGATCCGTTTCAACCCACTACTTGATAAACCCAACTTATTTATGACTTGATTATAACATGACCCGCTCCTACCCATTATCTGACTAACTCGACTCGATAATGATCCGACTCGATTTTAACCCAATATGATTTGGACTGAAACCCGCTTCAAATTGGGTAAATCCGTTTTCAAACCGACCAAGTTCAATCCAAATCGATAATGACTGGAACCCCAATTTCACCTGATCTGCTTTGAATCGAAACCCATTTTCAAACCAACCCGGTTTAACACAAATTGATTATGACCCGAACTGATTACAACCAGACTGGATTAGAACCTGAACTATTTTGAACCGAAACCCACTTTAAACTGACTAAACCCGTTTTCAAACCGACCCGATTAGACCCAAACTGATTATTACCCGAATCAACTACAACCCGACTTTAATAGAAAACGCAATAAAAAAACCAAACCGAATTGACCCGATGATTTTCAAAACCGACCCCAAACCGGTCCGCTAATCATTTCAACCCGTTATAAACCGACCCATTATAACCCGAAATTGATAAACTCAACGCAAACCCGAACAGTTTACGACACCCCTACCCATATCGTATAGAGGACATCGATTTCCGTAGAAAGTCTGTAGTTCAATTTTCATACTTCCTCCGTTTTTCATTTATCGCATCATAGAGGGTTTGACGGCAAAATTTGATAGTGGTAAAATTACAATATTATCCTTGTATTAGAAAAAAATGAGACCCACCACATAAAGCACATGCTGCCAGCTATGGTGATGTTTGGCAGTGTATTACACAAAAAGGGACGCTTTTTACTGCCTGCACTCCACTCACAAACAGTGAAAAGTGGGAAAGTTTTACATTTACCAAACAAAATTCAGTTTAACTATCCCCACCAAAATTTTCAACACTGAAATTTTTTAACATAACAAAACACCAAAATTTCAGAATTTCAAAAAAAAACCGCCAACATTGGTGATTCTGAAATTAAGACTACCCCCAGTACTTCAACTACAATATAAAAGGAGTGAGTTACTCAGTCCACTACATTGAATGCTTTAACCAACATTTTTTTTTTCCTGAGGTAGTCCACTGCACTTGGAAGCACACATCACACACATCACTTAACACCGTTTCTTCTGTCATCACAGCACACACATCACATTGGGGGAATGGATTCTGAGTGGTTTGAGGATGAAGATCAGCTTTACAATTTGGAACAGTCAACACAGTTTCACGAAGATTACGGGGTACTCTTTTCTTTTGAATCTGAACCTGATTGTGAAATAGGATTAGAAAATAATGGTAATCCAACAACTGTAGTTTTTGAGTTAGAACATGATAATGTCATAGTAGATAAAAATGGAAAAAAAAATTTGAATTAACTGATAAAAAAAGACAACATATTGTTCAAGAACTAATTTTAGCACAAGAAGGAAAAAGGTACTGCCCGGGGGGAAATCAGTACCAAAGGGTTCAATTACAAAATTAGCATACAAATATAATGTACATAGGACAACTATTGGAAGAATTTGGGCAAAAGCTAAGGGGCAGTTTGGGGGAAATAGAGTAATTGATGTGTCCAGCAGAAAAAGACAAAGGGGAAGGAAGAGATTAGACTTTAATCATACAATTTTAGCAGCAATACCAATTGAAAAAAGAACCACCATTAGAGGGTTAGCTGAGGCACTGCACTTAAGTCATACAACAGTCTATAGGTTGCTGAGAAATGGCATACTTAGGGCACATACAAATAGCATAAAACCATCACTTCAGCATCACCATAAAATTAAAAAAGTGCAATTTATAATGGACAGTGTCATTCCGGGAACGGTAAATGAACTTCCTAAGTTTAGTGCAATGTATAACATGGTGCATATTGATGAAAAATGGTTTTACATGAGTGATAAGACTCAAAGATTTTATCTTTTCTCGTGGAAGGATGACCCATACAGAGCAACTCAAAGTAAAAATTTCATGGAAATGGTTATGGTTATGGCTGGGACTTCTGGACCTCATATTTGCAATGATGGGGAAATATTTTGGGATGGAAAAGTTGGTGTTTTTCCTTTCACAGAACAGGTAGCAGCAAAGAAAAACTCAAAGAACAGAGTGGCAGGCACAGTTGAGACAAAGGCTTTGCAATCAGTTACTAAAGCTGTTATAAGGTCAATGTTAATTGATAAAATGCTTCCAGCAATTAGATCCAAATGGCCATTAGGAGCATGCAAGGAAATATGGATACAACAAGACAATTCCAGACCCCACATCAGCCCTAATGATACAGATTTTTTACAAGCTACAACTTTGGATGGTTTCAACATCAGGCTTATAACCAGCCAACCCAAAGCCCAGACCTCAATATTCTGGATTTGGGTTTTTTCAGAGCCATTCAATCAATTCAGTATAAGGAATTTCCAAGAAGTTTAGAAGAGTTATTACAAGCAGTTGAAAAAGCATACAACACATATGATCCAAAGTCTTTGAAATTCACTTGGTTGCACATGCAATACTGTATGCTGGAAATCCTTAAGGGAAATGGGTGAAATCGATATAAAAACCCTCACAAGGGAAAGAAAAAGCTTGAAAGAATGAGACAGCTGCCCGTTCAAATAGAAGTACCAAATGAATTAATGGTTCAAGGTCTAAGTTTCCTAGAACATGGACAGATTGATGTCAGTATTCCCCAACCTAGTAATACTAAACACAATCTGTCTCAAGGGACTTACGAAAAGTGTTCCAGGAAATTGCATTTACAAGGCTTTAATAGTGGAAATAGGCACAGGGACTGCCACACATAACCAACATTTTGTTTACACAATGGGTTTGTAACATATTTCAATCCTATTTGATTATGTGTACTTTTGTATTTTGTAAGTTTTTGTCTAAGGCAGTCATGTTAGAAGACATTTTGTGAAGGGACTTAATTTGTAGCTAACTTTAACATTGTATAAAGTCTTCCAAATTACTAGTATTGTATATGAAAGTCAGTATTGTATATGAAAGTCAGCTTTTATTTTTTTGCACATACATGAAAAAGCATGAATACATTACTTCTAAGTCACAGTAAACATAGGGTGGTTAATCCATCAGAGGGTGTCATTTTTTCTCAAAAAATGATGCACAAACCATGTTACCTCAACAGTAAGTTCACAACACTAAAACTGGAGCAAATCATAGTTTGGACAATTTTAATCAACTGAGTCCCTTCATCATATGGATTATTAAAGGGCAGTAAAAAAATGAAATAGGGACTCATTCCACTAGGGACAAATACCCACAAAAAGGGACTAACAAAGGCAATTGCATTTACTGTCTTGAAAACAGAGGGACTCAATGCAATGCATACTCTCTTGAAAACAGGGCGTTCTCTCAAATATTTTCATCGGGAACAAGAATTAACATTGCTCATACACATCATTTAGTCAATTACAGTCCCTCATACGCAAGGCATCACGCATTTGGCAACATTGATCAGGCAACATTGAACACTACACAACATGCATTCAACAGTATGCAATGAAACAAAAACGAATACTCAATAGGCAACGAGGCAATAGGCAAAGGACTCCTTCATTGAATAATAGGCAATGAAACATAACCAACCAACAACAGACTAATCCAAGCATAACAGCAACATCAGATTAATCCAAGCATAACACCAACATCAGCATAAGCAAATCATAACAACAACAATAGCATAATCAAATCATAACAACAACATCACCATACTCCAAACATAACAACAACATCAGCCTAATCAAATCATAATAGAAACATCAGCATAATCTAATCAAAACAGCAACATCAGATTAATCTACCACCCTGGCAACTTTTGTTGCTGGCATCCATTGGCATGCACACAAACAACACTTCACCAATCAACCAGTATAACAAAAAAAACAAAAATAAACGAAAAGGGCTAGATCAGAAATTGTTACTGCCATTGCAAATTCCATTCGCTTACTGTCAGGTCAATTAGAAGCTTCACCAAATCTCATTCGCTTACTCTCAGGCGCAACATCAGATTCGCCAACAGGGGGGACTCATATTTCTCATCATCATCGTAAATTGGTGTTATCTTAGCACCAATCCCATACATTCTTCTCATTTGTGCAGTAGAAACCCTACGCATCATCTTAGGGTATTGGTTAGGTCCGGGTCGGGTATGGGACTGTGATTTGGGTTTGTTAGCACGACCCAACCTAGATCTTCCACCCATCTCAAAAATAGATCCGAGTCCTTTACAAGGATCTGAACTCGCATGAATCACCATCTCAGAAAAATTAGTCCCTTGTTGTGAAGAACAACCAGACCCAAACTTTCCGGCAACCGTAAGAGAATCGCATTTGACCTCCCCTTCCCCAACTGTCGAGGCAACAGAAAGTAATTTCTCACCGGCTTCCTCTTCTTGAACAGATCTGAGAACTTTACCAATAGCAGCAAAGGTTCGTTCGCTGAAAATGTCGCCACCTTTGCCCGACATGTAGAACGATTTAGGCCAGGAAGCCCGTTCTTCAAAAGCTTCAACAAGAGCAACAATGAGACCCTGCTCAATTTCATCGTCACTCGCGAACAGGGCTTCGTTTAGGGGAGATAGATCCATTCTAGGAGGAGGATGAGAGGAAAAACAACGAGGAAGAGAGGAGCAACAAGGACGCAGATCCTTTCAAGAGAAGAGAGAAAGAGGAATACATGAGGAAGAAAGAGGAAAAACGGCTGTCGAAGAAGGAAGGGAGGAGAGAGAATGAGAAAAGTCAGGAAGATGAAGAACATTCAAGAACTAGGGTTTGAATTATGCAGATCCAAATTATAAGTGGGCTACTGAAAGAATTAATCAAGAGCCTGGCAAAACTATTTTTCATGTTATAGTAATTAATCAGAAAAAAGAATTGGTTGGTGTAATAAGGGGTTTAATTTGGTAGGTGGGAGAATAATAAGTGGGGTTGTGTTGTTATTATAAAAAGATAAAAAAGAAATTCTACAAGTAATAATTTGCCAAAAAAGGAATTGATTCAATAAAAAGTAAACTTCCTGCGATAAAAAAAAAGAACGGAGGTATAAGATTAATGAAAAGTTATAACAAATTTCTCAAATGAATTACTCAAAAAAAAAAAAAAAAAAAAAATTTCTCAAATGAACAGAAATTGTGCAGAAATGAACATAGTAAAGACAATCGGAGTGGTGGGAGCCGGCCAAATGGGCGCCGGAATCGCCCAGCTCGCCGCCGTTAATGGCTTCGACGTTTGGCTTTTGGATTTGGACCCTATTTCTCTTTCTCGGGCTACCAAATCTATCACCAATTCTCTCCAACGTTTTCTTTCCAAAGGCCAAATTTCCCAGGTACTTTTTTTTATCTTTGGCAGTAATTTAACGGTTTTAATTCTGCATGTATTGGAAATTGATGAATTTTGATCTTAATTTTTATGGGTTTTGTTTGAATTTTGGTTTAGTTTAGTTTGTTTCTTTGAGGTTGCTATAATTTGATTGATTTTGGGATGTTTGGGTTTGAGTACAATTTTATGACTGGAAATCAGATTTAATTTAAACCAAATTGTAGGGTAAAGTAGTTATGTGTTGGTGGAGTTGTACTTGGTTTGATCAAGAAAATGACTCTTCAACATGACTTTGTGGCTTGAAAGTTGAAGCAATACTAATTTATATGGATTAAACCCTTTATCATTAATACAATCATCCGTACATTTGATGTCTCACTCTTGAATCACCCAAACAGGGGCCGTAACCAAAAAATTTGTTTTTGAAGACCAAAATTTTCATGTGACTTTTTGACGGGACTAATTAAAAATTTAACCTATATAAAAAAGAAATAAACAGTTTACCTTAAGGCTTCGTTTGGTTTGACAAAAAATATTCAATGAAAAACACATTTTCAAAGAAAACCCCAATTCCAAATTAGTTATCCTTTGTTTGTTTCCTTACAAGAAAAGCTATAAAAAAAAGTTTGAAAATAGGGTTGGAAAGATGAGAATGGATAAGAGGAAAGAAAAAAAGAGCTTAGGGGAGGCAGGAAAATATGACTTACCTTCTATTGTAAAAGAAAATGATTTTCACCATTGAGAGTGTAATTTTCCACCATTGTGAGTGTAGTTTTCCACCATTGAGAAAATTGCTTTCTACCCCTTCACGAACTAAACAAAGGAAAATGAGGGAAAATGGAAAAATCATTTCCCAATGAAAACATTTTATATCAAACCAAACACACCTTAAGGCCCCGTTTGGTTTGATGTAAAACATTTTCAATGAAAAATTAATTTTCATGGAAAATTATATTTTTAAGGAAAACCACAATTGCAAATTAGTTTTCATTTGTTTGGTTCCATGCAAGAAACGTTGTAGAGAAATTAAAAACAGGAGTAGAAATGTTAGGATGGATTGAAGAAAGTAAAAATGAGGCAAGGAGGAGGGAGGAAAATGTGGCTCCCCATGTTTTGTAAAGGAAAATGTTTTCCTCCGTTAAGGATGTATTGGGAAAATTATTTTCCACCTCTTCACAAACCAAACAATGGAAAATGGGAAATCATTTTTCATGAAAACATTTTACATCAAACTAAACAGGGCCTTAAGTGTTTTTTAAAAATCCAAAAATTGGGGTGTACTAGGGCTCCCTCTAGCCCCTCCATGTTCTGCCCCTGACCCCCAAACTTGGTATCTTTGCTTGGAGACACCCCTACACACACTTCGAATATCGGAAAAAGTTTACACATTAAACAACAACAATATCTTGTATTCACCGAGCATGATCCTTTCCTTCCATACCTTTCTATCCAGTGTTATATTTTCTGCAAACCGAACTACTAGAATGTTAATAGATGTTATATGGTCACAGTGATATGGATGTGTTGAAGGCTTTCCTTTGTTTTTTATGTCGGTTCCTGGTTCTGAAGATTGTGTATTTCGAATCTTTATTACATACTTTATCTATGTGGCCGAGTACTAGAGACTGGATTTTTTAGGGGTGTCTTCCTTTTTGTTCTATGCAAAGTATTATTTCAATTTAGATGATTGCTACTGCTCCTTGTGTTAGAGAAACACTTGGTGTAATATTTATGTATAAACAGGGAAGAAATAATTAAGCACTCTAATATCAGTTTTGAGACAAGAATTATTGGCTTTTGCCATGACTTGAAAGGTGGGTGGTGAATGATCTGATTCGAAGGAGTCACCAGTAGCCTGGAACCTTGTAGTATTGTTCTTGAGTACATTCCAATTTCCAAGGGTTCAAAGGTTGACTTGAGGCAGTATATACTTTGTAATTTTTATTTTTTGTCCTGTGACACCTCAGGTGTCTCTGGGAAACCCTCAGGTCAAACTTGTCTGTCACTGATCGCATGCCAGCAGTAAAGATGAAAACCTTTTTCACATAATGAAATTAGTAATTTTTCCAGTATGCTTTTCTTCTATTGATTAAGCTATTGGGTAGCTGCCCACTTGATTGATGGAAGACATTTGCTGCCATTCCTTTGGAATTTGCCTTTTGAATCAATATAGGCCGCCACCTTGTTAATTAAGCTTTAAGAGTTTGTTCACCTTGTTAATCAATATATGGCCGGACCAGACAATTTTTGTTTCCAGATTTGCAGCTTTGGCTCACAGTAGGGTATGTATGTCATGTATCAACTTGGCAAACTATTGACTAAGGGCATAACTCTCAAGATATCATAACTTAGGGCTCTCTTCTATCCTTATATTCCTGGTTACTCGAGAGATTCTCCTTCGATAAACGCATTTTACACAAGTGGCAAATATGTCCGGAATTACCATTTAAATGTCTGTTTTTGTGATATACTCTGTCGTAATTGTTTTAGATTTGATTTCTTAACTGCTGAATGCCGATGATGAAAAGTATGAAACAGCATGAGTGGCAGCAACAAATATTGCACTCCCAAGATAATTTTGGGGTTCAGGGGTTGTTGTTGCAATGACCAATGTGCCAATATGCTAATCTGATGGCTTCCTCTTTTTTTTTTTTTTTTGTTTTTTTTTTTTTTTTTTTTTTTTGGGTTATGATGGTGGTCGGGAGAAGGGGGGGGGTTAAATGATTGATTGACATGGGAAATATTAGGGATTTGAATATAGATCCAAAAAATTTTGGGTACAAAAATGAAAATACGTTATAATTGAAGGTAATGTGTCAAGTTACTCTTGTAATAAGTACAACTATGATATATCAACCCTGAGGGCTAATGATAAGCGTTATTTCCTAAAATGGTGTGTATTTAGGAATGCATGACAAAATAATGTGTCATCGGTGCTATAAATGTTTGATTTATGCACTATATTCTAAAAGGCTGCATATGTTGTTTTCCCTAATACACAGCAAAAAAGCTATCGAATTAACCGAACAAGCTGATACAAAAGGAATTCAAATCCAAATTGCCGGCCGTATTGATGGAAAAGAAATTGCATGTATCGAATGAATAAGAGAGGGTAGGGTTCCCCTACAAGCCATTCGCGCGATAATCACCAGGTGTTTTTTTTAGAACTTACACGAATATGCGTAAATCCCATTTAATAGAGTGATAATAGGCCTGGCCTGCTCACAAGCTACTGAGGCTTGGGGTGGTCAACGACGGCTTGAGTGAGCTATCTAAAGCTCGTGATTGCTGGAAAGTGGAAACCTTTTTGGGAAGCTCAGCTAGAGTTCCCCGGCATGCTCAGATTTGTAAAATTTGATAGAATAATTAAATTATGAAATGACAATATAGGTTTTACTACTTCCATTCTCTGAGTTAGTTACAGTTACTGTCTACACTGATATTATCATATTAAGGAGGGTAGGGGAGAGATAGAGAGTGTAGCAAGTGAATCATGTGTAAGAAAAGAGGTAGTCAAGTAGTATTGTAAGTATTTTTTATGTATTAAATAATAGGACAGTGTTGTAAGTGGGAGGGATAGTGTTGTAACAAATTTATACAAAAATGGGTGAGAGAAAGTTTAAAGTAAAAGATGAAAACAGAAAGTGTATCCAACTTAAAGGAATGTAGTATTAAATACATATGAGGACCTCAATGTATTAGCAAAATGTTCGAATATGGAATGATATGGTGAGAAAGTGTACTGGTTGAATAAACTAATGAGTGGAGCTGTACCAATATTTCTGAGATGGACTTAGCTCGAGCTCAAGTATGGTTGTTGCTAGCCGATCTGAGCTATCCTAAGCTTGAATTTGGTTCAGCTTGTTGTCACTCTTAATGCAGGACTTCTATAACCAAATTGTTAGGAAAGCGTCAGTCGCCAAAGACCAGAGAAAAAGCTAAAGATTCATCCCCCACCCCTTTGCATCCTGTGACCTTTCCTTTCCTTCTAACACATTTTTAGCCTCTAGTTTTTTTTTTTTTTTTTTTTTTTTTTTTTTTTTTTTTTTTTAATATTTTAATATATATATATTTTTTTATATTTATTTATTGTAAGCTACTTTTTTATCCTATGCTTATTACTTGTCTCTTCGTTCTAATCTACCATCTTATTTTAATTGTGTTTCTTGTAAGTATTACTACTATGAGGAAAGTTAAATTTCAAATTAAGCTGCCACACACTTTGATTAATGTTATTCTTTACTCTTTAAGTGTGTAGAAATAGTCTCTTTACCTTTTCGTACTAGTTATGGATTAGATTGTGTATGTCTAGACCTCCTTAATCCCTATCCGTAGCAGGATTGGTACTGTTGGCTGTATTGGCATGATAATATTTAGTTATGATCAGTTGAAATTGTGGAAGAATTATGTGTCTGTAGTCAAGATTGGCTTTTTCTCTCTGTAGGAGTGTAGGGTACATCCAGCTACTGAACTGTGGTCTATTGTACTCAAGGCTCAATTTATTTTCATTGTGTCAGGCTGTCATGAGTGATGCACTGAAACGCCTACACTGTACCATGAGTTTGGAGGATTTTGGTTCTGCAGATTTTGTAATTGAAGCAATTGCTGAATCAGAAGTAGCTAAGAGAAAGCTATTTGTTGAGCTGGACAAGATAACCAAATCTTCTGCCATCTTAGCATCAAACACCAGTTCAATATCCATTACACGACTTGCTTCTGCAACAAGTCGACCATCCCAGGTCTGCGTTAGTATATTTTGTCATGTGTCACATTTGTATCTGCACTGCAAAGTTCCCAAGAGTTTTATTGGTACATTGAAAATCATTAAGTGGATAATATCTTTGTGTCGTGTTCTGTGTTTCAAAAGCTAGCCTGAATATGAATTCTTCCTAAGTACCATGCTGACTTCATCCTTATTGGTCAAATTTAGATTGCATACTTGCATAATGTAATTAAGCTGTGCATGGGTTAGGTATAATACATCGTGGTTCTTGCTGAACCATAGTTTGCTTATCTTATGAAGATGTTACATTATTAAGTTTTGACATCTAGGCTGCAAATAAAAGCTCAGCTGTTCTTTTCATGTTATGGAAGAAAGGAAGAATACTTGTTAATTATTATGATATGTCTAATAACTCTATTGTGAAGATATATTTGACAGTCTATGGACGATGTCAAGTGTGAATTGTTTGTTTATTTCGTGCACTGCTTTCTGTTGTGTTGAGGTTTCTATGCGACATGTAAAAATAACTGCATTACCTTTGGCACTTAGTTGCATGTTATTTGATGTGTCTTGTCCATGAAAAAGTAAGTGTTTCGGGGTTTTTTCTGTGTCCTGCGGGAGAGTTACAACACCTAGACTGACCTCCGGCTGTCTGTACCTGCAAAACAACAAAACTCCCGGGGGAGTTCCGCCTCCGACGATCAAGTTAGAACGTGCGTAAGAAGTATATTGCGGAATGTAAATGTGTTTTTCGGCTGCCTGAGGCAACCTCGAAATCTGAGTGTTTCACTCTCTGATTTGAGGATTGGAGGAGTATTCATCATGAATCCAATGTGAATGAATCTCTCTCTCTAAAATTTTTGTGATCCTTTGTAACTGATGCAAATGATTTGTATTTATAGAGATTTGGGAGAGGAGCTTGATGGGCTTAAGGACACGTGTCACTTTAGCATAGACCCATTTGTCAGGGGTATTTTTACCCCTAAACAGTAAGGACTTGGAAAAATTTAACTATATCTATGTATAATGATTAAGTATGGGTTACATTAATGTATAAGATGTAAGCATGTTATCATCTTATACATAATCATATTTATGTAAATTAGAAGTACATTTAACATTTTTTGGTAGTAGCATGTGGAACTGATATTGAGGCTGCTTTAGGCTAGTGCTTTATGATTGATTCATATTGTATTAATGTGTAAGAAACGAATTGGTGTTCTGTAAATGCACAGTTTCCTTTAATGGATTTAATCTTCCATATTTTCCTATAAAAAGAAGCTAAGCAAGGCTACCATTGTCTGAAGAGCCCAATTATTTTGCTTGTCCAGTTGTCATGATCCATACCAACTAGAAATCCAGGCACTTTTCATATAGTTAACTTATTATAGGATATTGCTAGGAACTTGATTTCCTCAATAATTGTAGCTGCTACCTTTGGAGATTTGAACATTTAACTAACTGGAAGCAGTCAAAATGACTCAGAAAAGAACAAGGCCTTGTGATAACACCTCTCTCTGGATTTTTACAGGCCTCCAGAAACGCTCTTACTTCCCCTTGAAATGCAGACACTGCCACGCTAGAATTTTCACTCTCCTTACATCCTTGATCCTCCTATTTAGAACAAACAAACCCATTCCACTGTGGCATCTTATCATTGCCCTTTTCTTCTGTGCCTTTTGTTAAGAGCTATCCACCATGATATTTGGCATCCTTGTTACCAGGTTAAGGCTTCCTAAGTTCAACTGGCCAAAGGATTGGGATTTGGGGATCCTTACACAACTTGCCTTCTACTTTCAATATCCCTTAATACAGCATCTCTAATTTGAAGCTGCTTGGACTGAACCCTTAAAGTCCCCTGAAGTATCTCTTACTGATATTCCTTCCCAGCTGCTTGCAAAGGAAGGGTGTAGTGTTCACCACCCATACTTTACTTGATAAAAATCCATGTTCTTTCTGAAATCTCTTGGATTGCCTCATTGATAAAGTCGAACTGAACAATTCAAGTTCCTATTTCCTACCCTCCAGCTATTTTGAGGCAAATACCACTTTCTTTCATCTAAAGTAGATTGTTTTGTGCTCAGAAGAAGAGGCTTACCAGAGTGTTAGAACTCTGGATGTGATTATGATTTACCCTCCTAGGCAACTTAGATTAACATTAAGTATGAACACATAGCATCAAACATAGAATTTTAATATATTAATTATTTAACTTGAGAATTGGGATTAATCCATAAACTTCTAGGAATGATTCTATCTTTTTAAGATTTGGAATTTCAAACTTACTCAAAACCAACTGCACCAGAATATAAATTGAATATTTGAGCATATACATATTATTATATTCTATTGTTATAAATAGTTCTTATAACATGGTGATAAAATCGTATTGATACACGTCTCTAATATTTGCAGGACAGCTTAGAATTACGATAATATTGACATTTCTTGTGAGAAGTGGTCACAAGTTTTGAACTTCCCATAAAGAAAAGAGTGGTGAAATATTTCAAGATAGAGTAATCTTGTGTAGTTTGAAAAAGTAAAGTGTTGTTGGCTTGCGTCTTATTTGACATGTTTTTATAAAAGTACTGAAGCTTCGTATCTCTAGGAACTGAAACAATTCATTTTTCATTAGCCATTAGTCATATATTTGATTCTTTCCATGAACAACATTGTTGGTCATAATACTGTATAAAGTTTTATGACTGTTTTACAATGTAGTTGACACATTGATGTCTAAAATCTCTAAATCCTTCAAGCTCCAATTCTTGATCTCATTCGTGGTGTTTTGCATTCTTTGCTTGTTTCCATCTATATTCATCATTTACGGACTGATCAGATTGACGAATTTGTCGTATTAAGAGTGACTAAAACATTTGCAGGTCATTGGCATGCATTTCATGAATCCTCCTCCTATAATGGAATTGGTTGAGATTATAAGAGGTGCAGACACATCAGTTGAGGCTTTCAATGCAACCAAAACTTTGGCAGAGAGGTGATTTAGTGAAAAAAATTTAGAAGTGTGCAGAAAATTTGTTTTCCTTTATATATTTATTTTCGTGTGTGATTATTTTGTTATGTCTTTTCTTTATATCGTACGATTCATGTTAGCCGACCCCAAATCATTTTGGGACTAAGGCTTTGTTGTTGTTGTTGTTGTTGTTGTATGTGCTATCTGTTTTGTCATCTTTTTGCTTTTCCTTCTTGCTTTTATTTGTCATTTATGAATCCTTTTTCAGTCCATTCATGTGTAAGTTATCAATAATTCGCCAAAAATGCAGAATCTGGCTATCTTTTATGTTATTATTATTTTTTATTTTTTTAAAATCAGCTCTCTGTGTCTTGCGGTCTTACCTTTTTTAAAAATGAATATTTTTTTTAAGAACTTGATTAATGTTGCTTAATCATCTTATGCATTATAAATAACTCAGGTTTGGTAAAACAGTGGTATGCTCTAAGGATTATTCAGGATTCATTGTAAACCGAATCTTAATGCCAATGATAAATGAAGCATTTTTCACTTTATATACCGGGGTGGCAACCAAGGAAGACATTGATGCAGGAATGAAACTTGGGACAAACCAGCCAATGGGTCCACTGGAGCTTGCAGATTTTATTGGCTTGGATGTTTGCCTGTCAATACTCAAAGTTCTTCATGGAGGTCTTGGTGACACTAAGTATTCCCCTTGCCCTCTTCTAGTTCAATATGTTGATGCTGGCCGTCTTGGGAAAAAGTCTGGTGTTGGGGTGTATGATTACCGTGATGCATCAAAATCTTCCAAGCATGCAGCAAAACTTTGATGTCTATGTTGTCAGATAATGAGGTAAGCAGCATAGCCCTTTGTGTATAGAAATATGAAAAAATCAAATCAGATGTAAGATGTGACGATCATCTTAAAAACATTATATATGGGGATGCTTAAGGATAACATAAAGTATAGCCCTTGTTATATCATCTGCTGAATATCTGTTTATTACCATCTTTTTGTTGCTTGCTTTCCCTTGCTATGGATATCAGCTGTAGTCAATCTTCCAAGGAACTGTTTATGCTAGATTTCTTGTTGATGCCAGTCTGACTGAGTATATGAAGAATTTAGTGCCTGCCTTGTAACATAAGTAGTTAACTACTCATGAAATGTATATCTGTGTAACAGGAAAATTTCTAGACACTGGTGCATGTTCATGACAAACTAAACTAATAAAGCAGACCTTAGGATTAGCTTCTTTAACCAATTAAGATACTAGAATATGCTGGGCCAATAAAGATGTAGATTCAAAGCACCTAGAAACAGGGAGACCCACTGCAGCACTACTTTCTGCAAAAGGCCTGTTGGATTTTCTGGCTTTTCCCCTTTCTATTATAGTATCTTTTTGCATGTTAAAAAAAGAGAATATGTTAGAATAGCATTTTGTTAGATAGACAAATTGTTAGATCAGAATTATAATCAATTAAATAAGAGAGATTTCGGCAAACAGAAGTTTAACTACATTATCAAACTTTTCTACAAGTATGAAATTTTTACGTGTAAAACTCGTAAAACACAAGCACGAGTCCAGCTGTGTAATTGGTATAATAGAACTTCAATTCCACCTTGTTTCAGAATGTAAATCTGTATTTAACTGTTTTGATTTCTTTTTTCTTTCTGAGGTTTTCTCTATTCAGAACGAAGTTGGATGATTCTACTTTTCCAAACTAGGAGTAATGTTTTCAAAGTATTGACTATAAGCTACAGAATAATGTTTATAGTATATTAAAATGTATAAATGTTTTATTTTTCTTTTATTGGTGGGAGGAAACAGAAAAATGTTGGGTTCTGATATTTTTTTTTTTATTGTGAATCTTGTGACATTCAGAAGAATATTCTGAATTTTGATTACCGATTGCAATCTGTTGTGCCAGTTGCCAAAGAATGGCATTGTGCGAATCCTCAGAATATCCCATACATTAGTATTTTTATAAAACTGATGTGGTACATTGATTCCCTTGTTTTTTTGGGGGTTGTAAGAGGGTTGCACCGATGTTGCAGTGCAAGCTGTGGTACTATGGCTAACAAATTTTCTGGTGCCAACAAACTAGTAGTGGAGAGAATATTGCGTGATTTGCAATAGGCTAGTGAATTTGTTCTTTTCTTGATGCATAAAGTAGAGTGTACATAGATTTACCTAAGTAAATCTATTGTCATGTATGGCCATCATGTCCATCACATGCAATCTTGCGTAGACAAAGTCTTAGATATACCCCACCAGTCATGTAAGCCTAGCCTTCTGTCTTAAGGCAAAATGATTTTCCTGTAAGAAATAAATGGCAATGCTCTGTATTTCTACCTAATCCTATCCGAAACTTCTTCTGTTTATTCATTTCAGAAATCAAGCTAGAACTTTTCTACTACCGAGAGTTTGGTGCACTCAAGGATATTTTCTCAAAAAATATTCTCGGGTGCACCTACCTATGTAAACCAGGTATAGGACCTTCTCCTGAGTGCACTGTAACAAAGTTCATTTGGAATTTGCTTCGCTATAAGATTAGGGTCTGGCTGCATATACCTAACCCCTTGCACCTCAATTCTGCTACGAGCTGGACTGTGGTCTTCTTAGAAGTATTGAGAATTTGAGATTGTATTGATGTTAATACTGTACTTAAGTCTCTAATAGTATAACTGCATAAAGTCTAAAATTCTATTTGGTACTGCTTGCCAGCGCAGGAGAGGAAAATGTTCTATTATTAACGCAAATCAAAAGGACCTTTCTTTTGATCTTAATGGACTGACATGATCCATAAAACCTGCTAGTCTTGACTCTATTGGTTATTGATAGCCTTTAGCCCCACAAGTCTACCCCACTTAAGAGCTGGAATTATTGATTGATGACCTTTTTTGTGGGGTTGAAAATGATGGAAATGGGATCCAACGGGCTTAGCAATTTGTCCATTTGGTTTGGGGAAAAAGCTGGAGTAATATAGAAGATAGTAATAGGTACAACAGAATAACAAAGCTTGACATTTTTCTAGTACGAAATAGAATCAGAATTTGAGGAGAGAGAGAATTTAGAATTTGCCTCAGAAAAAGTATAATGAAGTTCTTATTCCAATGTCCTTGCTGTTCATGTTTCTGTTTCATGAAGCCCCAGAAAGGGAAGCCGAAGGAAAAGACAGAGAAGCCAAAGGAAAAAAAAGACGGTAAAGCTGAAGTTGCACCTGCAGCAGCAGCCGCACCAGCAGCGCCTGCAGCACCTGCTGCACCTGCAGCAGAGAAGAAGGATAGTTAATTGTAATGTTCTAGCTAATCAGTTGGCTTTAAATCTATGAGATAAAGGCAATGTGTAAGTGATTTAATGTGAAATGCAGGTGCAAATTGCTCCTACTTTGCTGAAACTTCAAATATATGTATCTTCCCCTTGCCCCCTCCTATGCATTAGATTTTCTGGAATCTGTTTTCTGTGAATCCTTGCTTCTGAGACATGAGATTCTCAGCTTTCAGATCTTGTTGCTAGGTCCATGATTTAGCATAGTACAGATCTGATAGGCTATAATTCTTATATGTATGTATGGTTGAGTTCCACTAGATTGACGCTCTTGCAACGTTATGACTGTCAGTTTTTATGTGGTTTGTTTCAAGATAAGGTAGCTCTGCATTTCCTTCTGGTTGTTATGATATGTCATGGAAGAGCATAAGAGGGTTTGTAGGGAAACCACACTAGCATCCAATTTGAAGGAGAGGGGGGACGGGATCTTTGAACTCAAACTTTCAGGTGTGTGTAGAACGTAAATGGCCAACCCGCAAGCCAATTTACACAGGTAAAGGAGGACAAATATGGAGCCTATGATTTGGTTTAGTGCAAATATTTTGTAAGAGAGCTAGAAGATGATGTACTTTTATTAAAGGTAAAAGTGAATTGGTACATCAAGTTCATGTAGAGGCCAATGTCTTTCATCAGGTTCGATGATTCGACTTAAGCTTAGGCTGGTTTATGCCAAGGGTTCTAACTCGACACGCATAGTGACCTATTATTATTAATAGAGGTGGTTATCTCAGAGTTTGACATGTTTAGTCTTGCCCAATTTAGGATCGAGATCTTTTTTTTTTTTTTTTTTTGGTGTCACTATGGTGAAATCACATAATCTCAAAACACAAATGCAAACAACAATTACAAAGGTATTGAATCTTTGTTAAACTAAAAACAACAATTTAACCTACAACTCGATCCGTTTGCCATTTTTTTTGTTTGTTTGTTTTCAAAACAAAATAAAATATTACGGGGACTATGAGACAAGATGAACCTCTTTTGGAGCCAACCCGTCCTGCAAAAACAAGAGTTAGGGTCCGTTTGGTAGGGTGTAAAACATTTTCAATGTAAAATGGTTTTCCATGAAAATCATTTTATAATGGAAAACTCATTTTCAAAAAAGTTTTCCGTTGTTTGGTTGAATGGAAAATTATTTTCCATTTTAAGCATTTTTCATTATTTGGTTGAACTGGAAATTATTTAATAATGGAAAACTTCAATTCTAATTGTATTCTCTTGTCATTTCTTTTACTCCTTTTCTTTTCTTTTTATTATTTTCTTACTCATTATTAGCTACCCCAATGTATTATACTATATTTTACTTCAAACATAATAATATAAAATAATCAAAAGAAACCAAATAATCTTTTTTATAAACTTTATAAAAGTTCAACAAGAGTCCTAACAATTACCACGATAATAAAAGGCTACTAGGATTAAAACTTGTCCATATCGACATATAATTATTATCACAAAGTTGGTAGAACAAAAGAAATAAAAAATTAACGTAGAGATTTAACGAAATATTGGACTCAAAGCTTCCTAAGAGCTTCACTCTTGGTCAAGAAGGCCCTAGCTAGCATTTCACGCTCAACTAGGTGGTCAAACGCAGCAACACGAACAGCTTCATCAACATCATCCATTTTCATGATCTCCCCATACAATTTTTCGACATCAAGTTGATTGTCCAAAAACTTCTTGAGAGCACTAACTACTTCTCCTAGTTGTGTAGAAATGTGACGTAAGTCACCTTCTTCCTCTTCAGCTCGAGATCTCTTCTTATGATATCTAGGCTCCGAAGAAGTTGCACTGTCTGACTTAGTAGGCTCGACTTCAATAGTACTTGGTTGCCCACTTGAATTAGTTTGAATGTCACCAAACGTCTTGGAAAAATTACCCCTTGCAATGTCCTTGCCTGCCACTATTGATATCTCGTCGTACATGTCAATTTTCTTATTCAAATACTTCTCATGAGATGGATATTGTTGTTAAGTAAAGGAGTAGCTCACATTAATCACATACACAAGAAGAGTAACACACATTAACAAGTAATGATCATCTCAAAAGAGTTGCCTAAGAGTATTGTTAGCATGACTACATGACAGCATCTGTTAGAATAGCTTGCAGTTAACAGCAGGTTGGTCAGTACAATTCATAGAGTTAACACATGGAATATTTCAAAATTTTAAGAACAGTTTCCTGCAGTAGGACGGGGAAGATTGCTAGAATACATGCCACCCAAACAAAGATTAAGGATCCCTCTGACCACATATCGAGCACATCCTACATATTCGGATTTTCTTAAGAATAACAATGGATAAAAACGGCACTGTGAAGATCAACAATAAGAACACCCACCCAAAAAAAATGACATTGGAAAGGCGATGTTCAGACCAAATCAATCAAGCAGAAACTATTGAAGACTAACAAATGTGAGTACGGAGTGGTCAAAGACAATACCTAGGTAGGGAGGGTGCTCCACAGGCTTACAAAGAAAAATGGTATATATGCTAATCACATTAATACTCCATGAATACATAGTAACTCGTACAGGCAGGTCAACTTTTCTTTAGCTTTATTATCAAATTTATTATCTCACAAAATGTAGGTCCAATAACTGAAGAATTATGACCATATTGGAAGTAAATGAGCAATCAATCAATCCAACAACAAAGAATAAGCAGAACATATGAACAATCAAACCTGAATATAAGCTTCATAAGCATTTGGTGAAGCAGTCACCATCTTTACATTATCATCCCAACCAAACCCAGATCTTCCTCGCACTTGAGAGATAACTCCCCAAGTAATTCTCACTGTCCTCATATGATTCTCAACATGGTCAGCAATACATGTGGTGTGAAACTTTTCAGAAATCATCTTTGCAGCATCAATGAAGGAGCTAGTCCTGAAAGTATTATTTGGCCGGTGTCCTTTCCTCACTTCTTCAGCAAGAAATTCCAATAGCTCCTTAGACATTTTTTTTTACCAACGAAAATTAACTTTTTTCTCGTCTTTCACCTGCATAACAAGTAAATTAAACACACAACAAAATAAACTAATAATAGGAAGCAAAATCAGAAATATAGACTCACGGCAGCAGCACTGCAACAATAACATTCTACAACTTCAATTAGTTCGGTGCTTCTTATATGCATTCCACATGGCCAATGCTATAGAATTTCGTTTTTTCACACACTCTTTGGTTTCCTCAAGAATTTTCTTTTGAGTAAGCGATTTCCTTATGTCATGTGTTTCAACCTCCAAGTCGGCCTCTCGTGTAATTGCATCATTGGGATCAACACCTCTTAGGTAGTTATGTATCACACAACAAGCAATAACCACATCCACTTGGGTTTCATATGACCAAAAAGGCTCAGCATCTAGGACGCGAAATCTCTTTTTTAACACCCCGAATGCCCTCTCTATACACATCCTCAGTGAAGAATGGCGAAGATTGAATAATTCTTTTTCATTCTCGGGAGGATTGTCGGTATACTCCTTCAAATGGTAACGAACACGTCTAAATAGAGGCATAAAACCTTTACGGTCCCCATACCCAGCGTCAGCAAGATAGTATTTCCCTACATCCATAAATTATTATCAATATTTTAATCAATTCAAGTTAAGTTTAGACCACTATTATCAACAAGAGAAAACTGATTAATATTACCTTCGGGAACCTTAAATCCCTTTCTAAGTGCATCACCCAAAACCCTTGAGTCGTGGGCAGAACCCTCCCAGCCAGCAAGCACATAAGTAAACTTTAGATCAAAGTCTACGGTCGCTAGTACATTTTGTGTTGTCTTATCCTTTCTTCCTCGAAATCTCTCTTGCATCTCAATAGGAACTGATGCACGTACATGAGTCCCATCTATAGCACCTATGAAGTCTTCAAACCAAGGAAAAAACCTAGGATTGTTCTGAATTTCTGGTTGCATATGAGTTCCTGGTGGATTCACTAAATATGGGTACAACCGAAGGATTGCTTGGAGCACAATATGAAAATAGCAATGTATAGTCCAAGTAGATCGAAAAAAACTCCCCCCAACATCCCTAAATCTTACATTATGACCCAACAAGTATAAAAAAATAAGTACTTGCTCTTTAACGCTCATTTGTTTTCTTTTAGACAAAAGTCCCCTTTCAACCAAGATATTACAGAAGCTAAAAAAAGCACTAGGCCTCATGCGAATCTGTCCAAGACAATGACTATCACCACAATATAAAACACTATCGATATTAGCCTCCCTTAAGCTATCCCTATTAACATAAGGTTGCCTAACTATTTTAGGTCTTTTAGTCCTAGATTTTTTAACATTAAGGAAAGCAAGGACAGAAGCAATAATAGCGGTAACAGCACCGATGATCATGCGTTTACGAATCATCTACAAAGATTAAAAAATAAAAAGAAAATCAAGAAAATTAGTTCCTTTAATCACATACATATGACAAATTATTATTGCATAAGGTGGATTAATACCTGAGACTTTTGAACATTGTTCAACTCCATGATAGATTGAGATAATGTCAATCTGAAATAAATGGTAAATCACAAGCTCATCAAAATTTTAAAAAGATTACTAATAAAAAGATAAGCAACCCCATCGAAAACCTAATCGAAACCCCAACAAGAGTTAAGTAATCATATCATCTGTATTGGCTTATTATCTTTCTACACTATTTTTGATGGCTGCTTTGCTCTGCCTGTAGGGTTTCGTAGTGACCCGACACTACGCGGAAGGAAACCCACCAAGACCCGCCCCTTAATTAAAGCAATTAAACAAGCATAATTAACTTAATCAAACAAGATTAAGGACAAGAATTATACCTTTGACGCGTGCTTCGCTCCTAAAGAGCTCTTACTTCAAAATCCCGAAAAGACGAGATCTCCGACGGATCGTACCCTCGATCCGACCCGAGCGTCCTAAGTCTTGAAGGTTAGTCAAGACCCGGACAAAATAACTATGAGTTTTACGAATCAAAGGTTTACTCCTTTTAGAGTTGCCTTTTTAATTCCACTCAAGGTTGTGTCAAATCCCAATACCAAGCTTGGTATTTATAGGGAAATGATCCCTTGATTTCCAATCTCCCATCAATGTGGGAGAGTTGGTAAAATGATAATTATTTAATTCCAAATTAAATAATTAATCAACTCAATCACAAATTGACACATGGCACAAATATAGAGAAAGCCAAGTGAGGACCAAGGCTTGGGGGGACCATTGCCTTGATCCCCAAGGCCATGTATTGGTCCCCACACACCATGCCCAAAACCGGGTCAAGGTGTGCTAGCTGGCTGCCAGCTAGCGTGCCAGCTGGGGCTGCCAGCTAGCGTGCCTTGCTGCCCAGCACCCAGCCAGCCAGCCACTGCACGCTGCTGCTGGGTTGTGCTGGTGCTACGTGCTGGCGCTGGGCGCTGCTAGCACCTAGTGCTGGCATTAGCCCCAGCAGCCCACGCACTCACTCTTCGCGCCTCACTGCTAGCACAGTCAGCATGGGTGCTGCTAGCGAGCCACGCATGCTGGCCACACTGCCCCCCCACACCATTCGCATACCCCATCGCACACACGCACTAGCACGATGCCTACGCTAGCACTAGCCAGTGCCTAGCATTTCTTGTGCTTGATGCGAGGCATGTGCGCACTTACACGCACTCGCATGCGTGGCGTTGCTGCCTAGCACCTAGCCAGGCATTGCACGCACACGCACCAGCCATGCTCCACGCACCACGCACTGCCAGCCCACACGCAACACATGCGAAGCTGCTTGTGCGACGCTAGGGTGCGAGGCTGCGAGTGTCAGGCCCTAACATCGAGCTGGCGCGTAGCCCCTCGCATGTGCTGCGATGCTTAGTGCTTCCATGCGAAGGCTAGCACTCAAGCACACGCACATGGCGCGCCATTGCCAGGCAGCCAGCCATGCCAGCACCTGGTGCTTGCGATGGTGCTGCCAGGCCAGGCACGCACGCACGCAGCACCCAGTGCTTGCGATGGTGCGCTTGGTGATGCCATGGCCTGCGATAGGCGCCATATGCACCCAGGCACCACGCTAGCATGCTTGCTAGCTTCTATGGGCTGCCTGGTGCCTGTGTGGCCTGCGATGGCTGCCATGCGCACCTAGGCACCCATGCTAGCTTGCGATGGGCTGCTAGGGTGCGCCTAGGCTGCGATGGTGCCTAGCACACCATAGTGCGCCTAGCACACACATGGTGCACCTAGGTTTGCGATGAGCTAGCCTAGCCTAGCTATGGCTACGCTCATGCTTGTCGATTGTGATTTTGCGACGCTCGGTATCGACGCCCTAGGCTCGATTTCCGACGTCTGTATTCGTAAAACTCTGTCGACTCATTAAATCCTTTTGGATTAATTCGACGTCTCGGATCGAAGATTCGATTGGGTTCGACCCGAAGGGTTTAGTTAAGATTAAGCTGTAATATCAATTGTATCCTGATATTACTGATCGGAAGCGGCCTCCACCTAGGCATTCCGATCACTTGACCTTACTGAAGAATTACCTCTGTAATAATTCTGAACCCTCTATCGGAATAATACACTTGTTGGAAGGACACCATTCCTTTCAATCTCCCACTTGTCCTTCCGGACAAGTGTGCATATTGTGTATAGCTCATTTCCTTTGTCACTTAATGTTTCTTCGTGAACTATAAGGTAAGATTCCTTGTCATCCTTATTAGTTCAGAAGTATTTCTTGATCTCCGAGTTTGACTGTCAAATAAACAGATGATTTCTAAAATCCATCTGAGCATGGCCATGCATTTTACAGTCTCACTCTTTGAGCGGCCTTTTCAACAACAAAACATTTTCCCTATTGTTAGTAGGGGGACAATCCCAGTCTTGTATTGTAAGTTCTTCTTACTGAGAGGACATAGACTCCCGAGTGTTCCCGTTATGATCCCCAATTACGGCAGACGTTAGGAAACATCAAAGAGCCTAGTACTCAAACAAGAAAACTTCACAGCACTCATGGTCTGAGGAAATAAGTTCCGATAGCCATAATGAGAAATGTACTTATGACAAAATTTAATTTTTCTTAAAGTACTCTCATAGGTCTTATCCAGTACAGTTCCAAATTGTACCTGTGCAAATGATTTATGACTGTCACGTCCTCGCAGCACAAGAAACGGTGCTGTAAATCATACTACACACTAATCTATTGCGGTCATCAATCGTCCATCTGTTAGATGACCTCGATTAGGGATACTTTTCGATTTAATATTCAATGTTCACTTAACAGGTGTTTCTTTATCCAAGACATGGTCTTGATACCCTGTTTTGAATATTTCCGTAAATCGAATGGACTCATTATTTAATTCTAAACCACAATTAAATAGTAATGGAGTAAATGATAATTTTGCACAAAAATTAATTACTCCATTAATGAATGGTTTTAGTACAGTGTCTTACGTTAAATCAACCCTGTTTAATTAAAACACTTGTACAGGGAATATCAAAGCCAGTCTCCAACATGCTTGATTCCCATTGCCTCAACGTGTTTGTTGTGTTTCACTTGAGGCAAAGGTTTAGTTAAAGGATCGGCTACATTATCATCCGTGCCTATCTTACAAATTCTGATTTCACCTTTGGATTTCCATTCCTTATCATGTGAAATCGCCGTTGCACGTGTTTGACCTTCTGGTGTTCTCTCGGCTCCCTGGCCTGAGCGATAGCTCCATTATTATCACAATAAAGGTCTATCGGTCCTTTGATTGAGGGTACAACACCAAGTTCACTGATGAACTTGCGAATCCAAACAGCTTCCTTGGCTGCTTCCGAAGCGGCCAAGTAATCGGCTTCAGTTGTAGAGTCTGCAGTGGTGCTCTGCTTGGCACTCTTCCAGCTGAACGCTCCTCCATTCAGACAGAATACATATCCCGACTGTGACTTGATGTCGTCTCTGTCAGTTTGGAAGCTAGCGTCAGTGTAACCTTTAACAACCAGTCCAATGCGCCTCTCCTGGGTTCGATTGGTATCGACTCGTTGCACTCAGGGCATACGATACATCCGGCCTTGTACATATCATGGCATACATGATCGATCCGATTAGCGAAGCATATGGGATCTGATTCATTCTTTCTCGCTCAATAGGTGTCTGTGGACACTGTTTCTTGCTGAGAGTTATGCCATGGGACATGGGTAAATGCCCTCTTTTGGCATTTTCCATGTTGAATCGAGCCAGTACCTTATCAATGTAAGTACTCTGGCTTAATCTAATCATCCTCTTAGATCTATCCCTGTAGATCTTGATGCCCAATATGTACTGTGCCTCTCCTAAGTCCTTCATTGAAAAGCACTTTCCCAACCAGCCCTTTACGGACTCTAATAATTTTGTGCTGTTTCCAATGAGCAGTATGTCATCTACATACAGGACTAGGAATGCAATATCACTCCCACTGACTTTCTTGTATACACAAGACTCATCTGGATTCTTGATAAAACCAAACTTGCTGATGGCTTCATCAAATCGCAGTTTCCAACTCCTGCTGGCTTGCTTTAGTCCATAAATAGACTTCTTCAGCTTGCAAACCTTTCCAGCGTTGCCTGGATCGACAAAACCCTCTGGCTGTGTCATATACACAGTTTCTTCCAAAATCCCATTAAGGAAGGCGGTTTTGACATCCATTTGCCATATTTCGTAATCGTAATATGCAGCAATCGCTAGGATAATCCGGACGGACTTTAGCATTGCAACTGGTGAAAAAGTTTCGTCATAGTCAATCCCGTGGACTTGTCTATAACCTTTTGCCACCAGTCTAGCTTTGTATACCGATACATTTCCATCTTTGTCTGTCTTCACTTTAAAGATCCATTTGCATTCAATGGGTGTATAACCCTCGAGCAAATTCACCAAGTCCCAGACTTGATTTTCAGACATGGGGTCCATCTCGGATTTCATGGCCTCTTGCCATTTTGCAGAGTCGGGGCTCGTCATAGCTTGCTTGTATGTCGCCGGCTCATCACCATCCATAACTAGGATGTCCTGATCATCAGTTAAGACAATACCGAGGTATCTGTCTGGTTGAGATCTTTGTCGTTGCGACCTACGTAGGGTAATCGGTTGAGCGTTTACATTGTCTGTTTGACTCTGACCAATCTTCTCAGATGCTTCCAAAGTATCTAGATTGTCAGTTTTGTCAGGTTGACATTGTTGCTCGTCCTCTCGAACTTCGTCGAGTTCGATTTTCCTCCCACTTGTCATTTTGGAAAGGTGATCCTTCTCCAAAAAGACACCATCACGAGCAACAAATACTTTGTTCTCGGATTTATTGTAGAAGTAATACCCTTTGGTTTCTTTGGATATCCCACAAAGAAACACTTATCCGATTTGGGGTGAAGTTTGTTCGAAATTAATCGCTTGACATATGCTTCAGATCCCCAAATCTTGAGAAAAGACAACCTAGGAGGTTTCTTAGTCCATAATTCATATGGAGTCTTTTCAACAGCTTTTGACGGAGCTCTATTTAGTGTTAGTGCTGCTGTTTGTAGCGCATGTCCC